GCGCCCGGCCACCCTGTGGAGAAAGCTCATTTCGGCCGCCTGTATCCAGGATCTTGCCCTTTCGGTCATGACCCAAAGTTCATGACCATAGGTTGAATGTGTACTGTGTTCTACACTTAACATTAGCAAGACAGAAAAACAGTTTTAAAAGGAATAGTGGACAGTATTTGTAGATCAACAGTCTTTTATTTTTACACATTTTATCAGTTCTGCACACAGGTTTTCCCCTATGGTTAGTTGATTCTCCCATAGTGGATGTGGGATATAGTAGAGCTCTGCTACATCTTTACTGATTGTGTAACTGTACAGAGGTTTGTGATGTTACTCTGTCTGCTAAGGTCTCCTGAATCAAATTGACCGTATGTTTTGTTGAGGGTATGGAGAGGGATTTCTGAGAAGTTGAGCTGGTTCTGTGCAGTGGGAAAAGAGCTTAAATGTGTCCTACTTAGTAGCTGTGCTAAAGTCTATTATAGTTTGTTCAGATTAAAAATGTACCAGACTGGAAATGATGTGTATGAGCAGAAACATGAACTAATAACAGGCCTCTGAAGTAACGAATGTTAAATTTGTAGCTGAATGTTTTGTGTTGCTTTCTGTTTTATTCAAGACAAATGATTTCTTTTATTTTCTAGGGATTCTGCTTAATTTTGAAGTGGACTTTTAGTAAACTTTTTGGGCTCCTATGCCTTTATTATTGTATACAGAGTAGTTGCTGAGAGACGGACAGGAAACAAGGGAGACAGAGGGACATAGCTCAGCAGTCAGACTTGATCTGCCGAGATGTGGTGCACACTCTGTGCCTCGGCATATGGTGTGCCGCACCGTAACCATCTGGCTACTGGGGCGACCCCCAGTTTTTAAGTGGATTTTGCTACAGACACATTGTTACTCACTGTATTTGCCATAATCTTCATAATGCATTGAATTATCAACAATTTCCCAGAGTGCCATTATTTGCCTATCTGTTTCTGTGCGATTAAATACAGTTGGTGTTTAAACAGCTGCTGTCCGCCTGGTCCTTACAAGGGCAGGTGCACGGGAGAGAACCTTAACTTTGATCACTGCAAGGTCTCCTTCCCTTTTCATTTCCAGCTTCCTCTACTCAAGCTGTTTTTGTGTTTATCATTTCAGTTGGCCTGCCAGACATGATGTAGTCCCAGAGAAATAATTCTATATATAAGTAAAGAAAGGTCTGAGGTGTCCTAACATGATGAATTTTAGCAGTGTCTACAGTGATACAATAGATGAGCCTTATAGACGTGATTTGAAGATGTAGCAAAAAAAGAGTTTTGACCTAAACGTTCACTGTAGTTCATAGTTGAATCTCATGAACGTTGCTTCATACTTCATACATTTTCTTAACCAGTGTAAAACCTTTTTTTTTTAAACATTAGCTTTTAATCAAAAGGTAAAATAAGCTGGCACAGTACACCACCTTTTCTTGTAAAATTTGCATGTTATTGGAGGTCTTGACTGGGATTTAAAATGCATCTTGTGTGTGTGCAAGATGAACCACATGAATAATAATAATAATAATAATAAAAAAAGTATCAATTGGGTAAGTTTTCCTTGGAGTGACACAAACTAAAACATGGTGGTGATTTGTGATTTATAATTTGTCTTTTTTCAACTTTGATCCAAAGCAGTATCAAAATCTGGGCCTCAAACTGATGATACAAATATAGAATAGGAGTGCCAATGAAGAGAAGTCACAGGAGCAGCGTGGTCCATATTATTTGAAAGACAATTAGAAGGAAATTCTTTGTCAACAGACAAAGATTATCTTTTGCAGGAACATCAGCCCCAACAGCACAGCGAGTGTCTAAACCATTCTACGTCAGCATTCCTGTTCAAAGTAATGAACGTAAACCCTTTAGTCACCCTTCTGGGTAGTTTTGCAGGGGAAATGTTGTTCCAGCAACATTTTTATTATGTCATTTTATTTTCAAAGTTGCTTTTATTCTTTGTCAGGCACTGCAGAGCTTGTATACAGTAACTGCTTTGTTTTGTCTATTTGTGTGAAAATTTACATTTTTTGAGGTAGGAGTCATGTACCTGTAGATAAAGGGTATGATTTTTATAAATTGGATAGTTGTTTTTATTATTTTTTGAACTTATAATTTTATTTCATCCTGAACTGCTGAGCAATTTTGTAAAAGGTTTAAATCATGATTTTATTGTTAATGGAGAATAAATCTTGCTTTTATTACCACTATAAAAAGCCTAATGTGTGAGTTATTATATGTAGTAAAGTAAGATAAGATCAAATTTATTGTCCCTGAAGGGAAATTTATTTTGGATGCAAGTGCCACTCCTGCAGCTGCACAAAGCAAACCATACACTCAAACTGTCAACCCAATCTAACAGAATTACTGCATCACGAGTTGCATTAAAACCCCAATTAGTAATTATAAATAGTAATAGTAATTACAACAGTGATTATTTGTAATAGCAATAAAGCAGATTGGGTTAAATTACATACATGATTATACCAGTGCTACATGGGAATAATTGTAACAAACTGATTATCCACAAGTACACACATATATGCCTCATGACAAAATAACAAAATGAAAATAGGTTTGTTTCAAATATTGTGTACTTTCAGTTTTTAGGCTGAGTCATTTTGCAAGAGCCAAAGACAGTACTGTATTATACATGTACACCTTAACTTTCCAGATGTGTCCTAACTGATAAGCAAATAAAACAACGTACAGTCAAATGAGAAGTGATAACTGAACAAGACTAACTTTTGTTTTTGCTGCATTTACTGTATCTCTCTTCACATGTGACTGTTGAAGTTGATAAAGTTCTTACAATCCAAGACAGAATTCTGTAGATAAATATTGCATTTAAAACTGCATAATTTAGGTTTAATCGCTTACTATTTAGCATATCACTTCAATAAACTGAGACAGTATTGAAGACAGTTTTCGGAGTGCCTTTGTAATCGAGGGTGAGCAGCTATAGAGAGCTATAGAGAACAGTGTCATCAGCTTAACAGTGTATGTGGATTCCATATATGTTTATTCTAATGTTTGTATAAAGGAAAAACAGTGGCAGGCCTGGCACAGAACAGAATGGAACACAACTAACTACTGTAAGCCAGTCAGCTGAGCCCATTTGTTTTTACACACTGTGTTCTGCAAGGCAAATAATTCAAGAACCAGACTACTGCTTGTCCTATGTTGGATAACCTTTATATTAATAAAGTGTGATCCATTTTGAACAAAGAATAAAATTGAGGCATCACTTCAAATAATGTGCTGCTGTATTGTTTTTGATGTAATACCGGACACAGATGATTTACAAATCATCACTTTTGACTTCAGATACTATCCCAATTTTTTCCTGATTCGGGGTTGTAAAAGTAGCCAATGAAATTCAACATCTGGCTTTCTCCCTTTACACCAGGCTGTATTTCTTTCATGCACTAGGGTGGACAGTTCGACTATAAACCAGGCGTTTATTCTGTTCATTAAAAGGCGCATGTTTGTCTAAAACACTAGTAAACGTGTTAAAAAATGACCATGCTTACTCCACATCATCAATCCATACTTTTCGATCTCAATCAATGTAAAACCAGTTGTGTATGAAATCTTGCAGCCTACATCAAAGTGCTTTGTATCTCATTTAATTAGACTAAACAGAGTTTGGCTTTAGGGATTTCAGTGTCCCTTTTTGGATGATGCAGTGGACACCTGAGTCGTTTGCAAACACACCAGCTGCTGAGAATGTATGAGTCCATGTGGTGTTGATATGCAAACTACTTCATTTTCTTTCTTTTTAATTTTTAAATTAAATGCATACTTTCCCTCTGTCCCAGTATTCTCCTTGCTGATTGCCATATAGGTACATGAAATAAAGATAAAGTTCTGTGGAGTGTGCTGATCCACCAATAGCTGTCTAACACATTAATAACATTACCAACCAGCCAATAAAACAAAAACTGCTAGATCTGATAGTCACTATAAAAAGATGACACATCTTCCTGAGAGACACCTGAAGGGATCCACATCCAAAAGGAACATGATGAAGCTTTGCTTTCTTGTTTTGGCTATTGCTGGTGAGTTTTTTTTCTCCTCCAACTTCAATACGTTTAGATTTTTAGCTGGAAGAAGTTATCTTCTTCTGTACATAACTGTCTGTTAGACAGAACAGAATAGGCGAGTGTTAGAATAGGAGAATTAAAAAAATAAAAGTCATTTAGGATCCAAACCTAAGCTCTTTATTTTGTTTTGAAACATTCAAGTCTAAATGATTTCTAAGCATAAGCCTGACAAGTGTGCTGTCTGCTCTGCTTCAGGTGCGGCATCAGGGGCCATTGAGAAGAGGATTGTTGGGGGCAGCTCCTGTGGCACGAACAGGCAATACCATGTGCAGATAACATCTGTGGTGGGCAAGAAAGAATGTGCAGGCTCTCTACTCAACACCCGCTGGGTCATCACGGCTTCTCATTGTGGAGAACAGTAAGACACATCCAGCTTCTCATGTGTTGCCCTTTCCATGTGTTTTTGCCTTTCTGAGTGATAAAAATCAGAATAAAAAACTTTCTAAACTGGTGCTTGAAAAAAGATTGTTAGGTTTACACAATAAACTACAAGTAAAGGTTGAATGACTGCAAAAAAATTATAATTAAAAAAAATCAGGGAAATAGTAAAAATGGAACTGGTTGCATTTCAAAATGACTATCATTTATTATTTACACCATAGTCCTAACAATAGGTTTTCCTTTCCTTTTTTCAGACAAGTGAAAGTGAAGATTGGCTTAAATAATGATGTGTCATTTTTTAAAAAAATAAAGTACCTCTTTAAAGACAAAAAATATGAGCAAGTAATTGACGTTAAGCAACAGTTTACCCACAAAAGTGAGGAGGGGCAATCCCATGACATCATGCTCATAAGACTAAATGATGATGTTAAAAGTCCCACCATCAACCTTCCTCCTGTGGAGTGTACCAGACCAGAAATGAGTCACCAGGTTCAGATCGGAGGCCTGGGTTTCAAAGCCGACAGTGGAAAAAGTAAGCAACACTGAGATGCTAGATCCAGATTTTAAAATTAGAAGTCACTTTTCTGAAGCTTTGTTTTAAATCCTCAGAAGCCAAAGCGCCCAGCAAATTGCAGTGTTCCAGCACAGACATCAAAGAGTGTGGTGAGGATGATAAACCTGATGCAAAATACTTCAGTGATGAAACTACCACCATGTGTGCCTTTAAACCTGGCGTGGAGGTCTGCTTTGTAAGTACACAGTTCATTTCTTTTTCTTATTTTTGTGTGTCATGGCATATGATCACAGCTCTGATCCTTCTATTCCAGGGTGATTCAGGTTCAGGTGTGGAGTACAACAACCTCTTATATGGGATCATTTTAAACAACCCTGATGATAAGTGTTCAGGCAGACTTGTAATGCTGGATATTTGTAAATACAGGAAGTGGATCGATGAAACCATGGAGAAAAATTAATGGATACGTTGCATAGATTAATACAGAAATTGCAAATGTACTTTAAATATTGCTTATTAGCTATTATAATCACCTGCCAAATGAGCTTAGTTGCTGTTAATTAAAGAATTACTGCATTATCAAGATCACTTTTTAAAAATATAATTGAAGGTTATATTTAAATGCCATTACCTTCTGTAAAACAAATTTCCCATAAATAAAAAGACAATCTCCCAGACCGAATGTGTTGTCTGTTATCTCCTAAGTATATAGAGACTGTGTCTGCCCCCCACCCACCTAAATTATATAAATCAAGAATCAACTCCAGAGGAGTTATTCATAAGAACCTAATTAAAATTAAGATGACTCCTCTTATAGTAGAAAGTAATAGGACAATCAAATGTGGACTATTAAATATCAGATCTCTCTCATCTAAATCTCTGTTAGTGAATGATTTGATAAGTGAACATCACATTGACTTATTGTGTCTTACTGAAACATGGTTACAGCAGCAAGAATATGTCAGCCTAAATGAATCCACTCCACCTAGGCACAGTAACTGTCACATCCCTCAAAACACAGGCCGAG